CGTCTAAACCCTTGCAAAGGCAAGCTGCCAGGTACTCTTTGGCGGTCTTGTATGCTATGTGAAGTGTCCACAAATTCACTATTTAAATTGAGAAAATGCAACTTATCAATATGCACAACAATATCCAAAAAGACACTAGAGCATGTTAAGCGAGCAATCCCTATACAATTTGGGAAACTAAAACATCACTTTACTGCTCGTATTCCAAGCAACTGCAATACAATTAAGGAAAACTGAAATGCATACCTCAGGATCGACTGATCAAATTCACTTGGCAACTTCTCGCAAATCCCCAGTTGACTTATCGACAACAGAAACTCTCTCGAATATGATATTCTTGAATGCCTGAATCATTATATCTAGCATTCATATAAAACTTTAAGACAAATTAAGTCTAAGACAACACAGGACATAAGCAGTAATTCAAGTTATAAAACTGAATAAGAAGATCAAGCATTACTTTCGAGCTTCTGATGCGCAATTAGTGGAGCTTCCATCATCAATCCCCGAGCTCATTCTGATGAACAATTAAAGCTAAGGGTTCAGCTGAACCCAATAGCTCTGGCTCAAACTCTGTCCTGATTATGTGTTAAAGAAATCTACTAAATATGTAGAGATATTAAATTTTGAACGCAGTAACTCAAATGATCAGTTCCAGTTCAGTTGGCATCCCGAACTCATAAACTTCAAATCCTGTATCCGCCTCTGCTCCCAAAGCGCAAACACAACCAATATTTTGCAACCACTATCAAATCATAAACTAGATTCAAACCATCTTATACAACAATTTCCCAAATTAACCCAAAATTGTACAATATTAGTACAGTCAGCAGCTATTTAATCAACAAAACTGCAATTATATACAGCGATTACATTCTAGGGTTTTCGTTTTCTGTTTTGTTGTAATTTGATTTAGAAGCTAGGGTTGTATATCTGTATACCTAGATGAAGAGAGAGTTTTATGGATTTGGATCTTTTGCAAATTTCCAGTTTATCGATTAATCGATACAGCTGAATGGAGAACAGATGTACATATCTATGTTCGGATATATGTAGGCAAAATGTGTTCCTTATTATTTTTTCAGAGATGAAAATGAGAAAACGAGCTGGAGAGAAGGGCTATCTTCGTGTATCAGAAGCTTTTGGATTTTGATTTTGGGGAAGTTTCCAAAAAAATAATTTTAAAAGCTTTGGTGAAACTTGTTAAATTGATCGAATTAATTAATGCTTTCCCAAAAACTTTAAACTGAAATTATAACTCAAACACCCATGTTATAGAATTTTATGTCACACTAGCGTATATTAGGGTGATTAAGGACAAGCACGAGGGAGTTAACACTTGGGTGAGGACTACGGGAGGAGACTCAAAATATTTTTCAGTGGAGATAGGTTTACATTAGGGATCGGCTCTCAGCCCGTTTTTGTTTGTGGTGGCGTTGGATGTTCTTATGAAACACATACAAGGGGGGGTGTCATAGTGTATGTTAATTGCTAATGACATAGTACTGATTGACGAGACGCGAGGCGGAGTTAACGTTAGGTTGGAAGTTTGAAGACAAACACTGGAGTCTAAAGGTTTCAAGCTGAGTAGTTCGAAAACAGAGTACTTGGAGTGCAAGTTCACTGATGGGATGCATGAAGCATAAGTGGAAGTGAAGATTGATACTCAAGTCATCTCCAAAAGAGATAGTTTTCGGTATTTTGGGTCTGTAACCTAAGGCAACTGGGAGATTGACGAGAATGTTACTTATCGTATTGGAGCGAGGTGAATGAAATTGAGGCTCGTTTTATGAGGTTTTGTATGATAAGAATATGTCGTCAAGACTTAAGGGCTCTACACAGTGGTGGTTAAACCGACTATGTTGTATGGGACCGAATGTTGGCATGTCAAGAAGTCCCATGTCCAGAAGATGAATGTAGTTGAAATGAGGATATTGATATGGATATGAGGGCATACCAGGAAAGACAAGATTATGAATGAAATTATTAGGGACAAGGTGGGAGCGGCCTCTGTGGGGGGACAAGTTGCAGGAATCAAGGTTGAAATGGTTCGGGCATGTGAAGAGGAGAGACATAGATGTCCCAATCAGGAGGTATGAGAGGTTGACCATAGCGGGTCCGAGAAAGGGTAGGGGTAGACCAAAGAAGTACTGGGGAGAGGTGATTCGGCATGACATAACATTGCTTCAGCTTACCGAGGATATGACACATGACAGGGAGATGTGGAGGTCAAGGATTAGGGTTAAATGTTGACAAGTAGGAGTGAATTTCTTATAGGCGTGTCATTAGTATTAGTACTATTTTTGTATTTTCTTATTCATGATTCTTTATTATTACATGTTGTGTCATTCGCTTCCGTTATGGTATTACATTTTTGTTACTATTGTTTGTTGCTTTATTTTCAATGTTTCTTGAGTCGAGGGTCTATCGAAAAAAAGCCTATCTACCTTTACAAGATATGGGTAAGGTCTGCAAACATATTACCCTCCCCTGTAATGACCCGGTCAGTCGTTTTGAGAGTTATAGACATATTTCCCCATTTACTGCTCATTTTAAACTTTATAGTTGTTATGTGACTTGTCGGGGTAGTCGGTTCGGGTCCGGAGAGATTTCAGAATGAAATGAGATACTTAGTCTCAAGGTTAAAAGCTTAAGTTGAAATGACTGACCGAATGTTGATTTTTGAGTAAACGACTCCGGAATGGAGTTTTGATGGTTCTGTTGGGTGATTTTGGACTTAGGAGCGTGTCCGAATTGTGATTTGGAGGTCCGTATTGGAATTAGGCTTGAAATGACGAAAGTTGAATTTTTGGAAAGTTTAACCGGAAGTGAACTTTTTGATATCGGGGTCGAATTCCTATTCTGGAAGTTGGAGTAGGTCTGTAATGTCATTTGTAACTTGTGTACAAAATTTGGGCTCAATCAGACGTGTTTTGATAGGTTTCGGCATCATTTGTAGAAGTTGAATTTTCTTAGTTTCAATATGCTGGAATTGGGGTGTGATTCGTGTTTTTGAAGTTGTTTGATGTAATTTGAGGGCTCGACTAAGTTCGTATGAGGTTTTAGGACTTGTTGGTATGTTTGGTTGAGGTCCAGGGGGCCTCGTGTTGATTTCGGATAGTTAACGGATCAAAATTGGGACTTGGTGCATGGCTAAAGTAGGGAGTCTATTGGTGTAACAGCACCTGCGGAGCTTTTATCGCAGGTGCGAGCTGAGGATGCGCAGATGCGGCCAAGATTGGGAAGGACTGTGGTCACAGGTGCGAGAAGTTTTCCGCAGATTGGGGAGGACTGTGGTCGCAGGTGCAAGAAGTTTTCCGCACATGCGTGGCCGCATGTGTGGCGTAAAGGGCGCACAAACGGATGATGCGCAAGTGCGATGGGGATTTCCGCACTTGCAATTGCGCAGATGCGGGAAATAGGACCGCAGAAGCGGAGGTCCAGCTCCAGTGGTTCACCGTAGAAGCGGGTGGATTGTCGCTTCTGCGACGCCGCAGATGCGGTTAAGTGTCCGCAGCAGCGAAAAGCCTAGGCAGAACTTTAAATATTTCAAAATAAGGGTTTGAGTTCATAACACAAAAATTGATTTGGGAGCTCGGCGGGAAGCGATTCTTGGAGAGATTTTCAAGTGGGTGATTGGGGTAAGTGATTCCTACCTAGTTTTGTTTAATTTTCATGATTATGTCATTAATTTCATTATTAAATTAGTGATTTGGTATGGGTGGACTCTCGGTTGAATGGGCTTTCGAGTTTTGTGACTTTTATCAAATTTCGAGACATGGATACGGAGACTGGCTTTTGAGTCGATTTTTGCTTTTGATTAATAGCTTAGCATTTTCCTTATGGAGTTGATTCCTTTAGCCCGTATTGATTATATCGAATTGTTTATGGCTAGATTTGAGGCATTCATAGGTCGTTTCGCAATGCAAGGGTGTGTTGGAGTAGAGATTTGGTCGGATTGAGGTAAGTAACAGTTCTAAATCTGGTTCTGAGGGTACGAAAACCCGTATTAAGTGTCATGTATTTGATTTTGAGGTGACGCACATGTTAGGTGACGGGCGTGTGGGCGTGCACCATTGGAATTGTGACTTGGTCAAATTCCATGGAATTGTGTAGTTGAATAACCTATGATTATATGTACATTCTCCATGTATTAGAGAAATTGAACCACAAATCATGTTAGAAATCATGTTTAGACTATGTGTTGACACTGCAGGGACCCACATAGGTCGTGTACATGTTGAGTTATGTGCTAAATTATTGTTTTGTACTCGATCTCAATTTTACTTGTATATGACATCTCAGTCTCTATTGTTCATTATTGATGCATCATATTATTGTTGTTTGGGCTGCTTATCATGATTTCTGAGAGCCCGAGAGACTGGAGAGGTTGATGACTGAGTGAGGGCGATGGCCTGATTGTGAGGATATTTATGGGATCGGGTTGCACGCCTCAGCATGTTTCACTGATATATGCCATGATTGGCTTGTTATAGAGCTTGGGCTGAAGGAGCCCTTCCGGAGTATGTACACACCCCCTAGTGAGCGCATGTACCCACTGAGTGCGAGTGTCGAGTGTTGAGTGCTGAGTGATTGAGAGGAATGAGTGTCTGTGAGGAAAGAGTGATTGTGAGGTTGGAGTGAATGGGAGGACTGAGTGACTGTTGCTCTGAGAGGATGTATGTGACTTTCATTTCTACTGCACTTCAGCTGTCATTTATCACTGCCTTGAAATTTCTAAGGGATCATATCTTCTGTTTCAGTTGAACTTAACATGAATTAACTGTTTTGGCCTTAATTGTCGAACTTGAAAGCATGCATACTTTCCTATGTTGAAATCACTGTAATTGAACTTTGATTGTGAAGCTCGTCACTACCTTCAGTTTTTATTTAGTCTTGTTACTTATTGAGTTGGTTGTACTCACGCTACACCCTGCACTTTGTGTGCAGATCCAAGTATTTTCGGACACTGTGGGTGTTGATTTCAGCACACAATTGATCTTCTAGAGATTCTGAGGTAGCTGTTGGTGTTTCGCAGACCTTGTCTCTCCTTCCCTATCTTTCCGCTTATTGTATTTAGTTTTAGACTATATTAGACAGTGTTTTCCAAACTTGTGATGTATAGATACGCATGTACTCTGTGACACCCTGATAGTTGGGAACTTCCGCATTGCGTTTTGGGTTTCTATCCCGTTTATGAAAACTTTCATTGTTCAAACTGCTTTAATTCGTTTTCTGTTAAAAGTGTTGGGAATATGTTGAAATGTTGGATTGCCTAATACCACGATAGGCGCCATCACGACATGTTAGGATTTGGAGTCGTGACAAGTTAGTATCAGAGCCTAGGTTACATAGGTCTCACGAGTCATGAGCAGGTTTAGTAGGGTCTTGCGAATCGGTACGGAGACATCTGTACTTATCTTCAAGAGGCTGTCGAACCCTTAGGAAACTTCACATTCTTGTATTCTTGTCGTGCGAATTTATTGATTCCGGTAACTAAACTTTTGTATTCTATTCTCTCACATATGGTGAGGACACGTGCTACCGGACAGGACGGACAACCACCAGTACCACCAGCTAGGGCCACAAGATGCCGAGGTCGCGGTAGTGGCAGAGGTACAGCTTGTACAACATCTATAGCAGCACCTGCAGATCCACCAGTTGCTCCAGTTCAGGAGCATGTTCCAGATGTGGTTGAGCCAGTGGGGACAACTCAGACACCAGCTATGCCCATTGTGATTTCAGGTCTTCAGGAGGCTTTGGCCCAGATATTGACGGTTTGCATTGGCCTTGTTCAGGTGGTTTCGGCTCAAGCCGTACCAACCACTTCTCAGGCCCAGGGAGGTACTCATACCCCCGCTGCCTGTACTCCAGAGCAGGTGATGCAGGGACTTCAGACATCGGGGGGTACTACCAGCCCAGCCGATTGCAACTGCTCAGGCCCATGTGGTCCCCATTATGACTAATGATGAGTAGAGGAGACTTGAGAGATTTGGGAGACTTCATCCTCCATCATTTAGTGGTGTTAAGTCAGAGAATGCCCGGGGTTTCTTGGCTAAGTACCAGCGGATTCTTCACATGACTGGTATTTTGGAAACCACTGGGGTCTCGTTCACTACTTTTCAGTTCACTAGGGCTGCCTTCAGATGGTGGGAGGCTTATGAGAGGCACAGGCCGGTCGGTGC